GATCCTCATCAACTCTCAGACACACCTCCATCTACAGCATGGGTCGGCAATGTTTGGGTAAGCGGTGCGGGCGAGGGATGTGCTGGCCGTCTACTCCCCGCCCCCCCCCTGGGCCCGGACCTCAAAACGGTGACCGGTGGGGGCGGCGATCGGCCAAACCTGCCGCGTCAGCGGGTAAATAAACTGGCCCACCCAGGGTGCTTACCTTGGCGAGCCGCGTGCCGAACGTTGCCGACCCCTGATCTACAGGTTCTCAGGCTCCTGTCTCCGTCCTTATTTCTCTCCTGAGCTCCCAGTCCAGTCTCCTTGCCCAGCTCCTTCTCCCAGTCTACTCTTTCCCCCAAGTCTGGTTCATGTCCCCTCTGCATTTGAATCAGGCAGCCTCCTTCTCCATGCTGCCTGGGCCCATGGGTGGGGTGGGGGGGGGTCACTGAGAGCATAGGAAATGCTGAGTGTCCCTTCTCTCCATTTTAGTGCCAGGACTTCATGAAACCTTCAGGGAATTTAGCTGCTAAAATCTAAGCAGTCTTTACTGAGCACGTGCAAACTGCAATTTTTCAAAGGCTGATAATTGGTCCAAATTTGGTGGATTTTCACAGGGACAGCGAAAGGCATGTCATTGACACAAAGGCCACTTCCTTGCCAAATTTCAAGTTCCTGGCTCCAAAGCATGGGGGTTCTAGAACTTTGGAAACAAAAGGTCATCAGCATTTTTTAGCATGGGCAAAACAATGCATTTTCCCTAACCTTGTTCTTGAACACAGCTGAATTGTTTCGGTTGAAATTTCAAAAAAAAAAAAAAAAGGAAAAAAAAATTCAGCCTGAGGCAGACACCCACCATGGGAATCTTCAGCCTAAATGGTTAAAATCTGGCAAAGGTATTATCAACTGAAAACAGGGTCTTACAATGGGAAGGGTCGGGCAACCTCAATAATGGGCGGTGCGATCAGTCCCGCCTGTAATAAATGAAGAGGAGAAAAGAAAACGATGTTCTGATGTAGGAAAGGAGGTCATCTCACATGAGCCTGTAGAAACCAACTGCCGATGCTACTGAGTCCTGTAGGCTTTCCTGTGCTGGAATGGGGTTTCATTATTGGGGCCACCTCTTTGCCATCACAGTCAGTTCTCAGGAGGTTGAGTCTGTGTGCACTTGCGAGATCTCCAAGAAAACCCAGCGTGCTGCAAGTCATATTGATGCTCCAGCAGGTGGAATTCTTCCATCTAACCCATCATTGAACAAATGCCAATGCAGTCCTAAGGGGTGTGATGCTGCTGGGGGGTAGGTTTTTGGATGTGAAACAGGAAGCCTTGGTCACGTGTGGTAATTAAAGACCCTCTGGCATTTTGTAAAGGAGGACTGACGTTAAGCTCCGCCGGCCTAGGTTCAGATTTTGCATAACTACCTAAACTTGCTCCCTAAATTCCCCTTGTGGCTTCAACTGGCTACATTATTCTTTCCTATCCTTGTGCCGACGGATGTCAAACAGCTGTTGTGTTGCATATTGAAGCTGGGCGCATTTCAGAGGTGGCAAAGTCAGTCTTGTGTAAAATGCTTTGTGACCATGACAAAAGGCATTCTGGAGATGTAAGTTTGTAACAACAATTAGTGGGAGATAGTCAAGCTAACGCTACCGCCTACAAGCAAATGGAACTCAGTCGAGCCCTAAGAGATTGTGGATGCATTGTTTATACGCCATAAGGGTTGGATGTTGTTGAGAGGCAGGCACAAGTCGCGGAACAAGGTTGACACCATGGCACAAGCCACGCTCTCAGATAATTAATCATGTGTGTAGTTATTCTATACATCTCTGTAGCATAGAGCGAAAAGGAGGCAGCTTGCAGTTCAGAACCAGAACGTACCAGGAAAAGTGAGCTTAAAAAAAAATGTCTTAAAAGGTTGATTAAAACAACGCTCTCTTTGGGAACAGGTTGTCTCTGGGATTCTGGAGAGAGATATTTTTTCTTTGTAGGGTATCGGTTCAAATTCAAAACCACTGACAATGATTTACATGGCCGCAGTTACCATGGTGGATTATGATGTATTTGCCAACTGGTGCCACTTGATATGATAGCACACTTATCCACTAAGCAGACTCCTCCACCCGAGGCCTGGACTTGCTGTGCAAACGTGTTCTGAGTCTCTCAAAAGGAGAGTACGCAGCAGCTGATTGAGACAGTAGAAGCCATGCTGAACTGGCCTCTGTTGGAAGTCCTTTAGCTTGGAGTTGTGTGACCAAGCTGGTAGGAGCAGATCTCAGCGGGAAGTGATCCTTGGAGGATCTTGCAGATCATCCCAGAAAACTTTATTTCTGTGGGGTTTTTGTGTTTTGGATTTTTTTGCGTGTGTGTTTTGCTGAGGCCTTTTTGCCTCAACTTCTCATATATAGTTGCAGCAAAAGATAAAACAAAGGGCTGAGCAAAAGGGGGGGAGGACCCACAGTTTCTCAGAGAGGGCAGGTGAATTCCATACATTGTTTTTGCAGCTGCATGTCAGCTTTAGCTTCCAGACCAGTGCAGTGCAGATTCTCCTCGGTGCCTCGTGGCCAGATCAACAGGAAAGGAAAGGAAAGGTTTTGGCATTGGTGAGAATAAATGACCTTGAAGCAAAATGCTGAAAATTTATGTGACTAAGTGGATTTACCACAATCTACTGCATCTGATAAACCTTCCCCACCTACCCTTTCCTATCCTTCCCACACAGTATCATCCCGCTATACCTTGCTGTACAGCCTCCACTACATTCTGTTCCATGCTCCCTTGAGATTTACCTTCACTGCCACCAGCATCTTGTCCTTGGTGGGGCTAAGGTTGTAGCACTCGGCCAAGAACACCTTCCCGAAGGCACCTTCTCCCAGTTCCCTCTTCAGAACGATGTCTCTCCTCTTAATATGCTGAACATCTGCAGAGAATGGGTTGATGGGGAGGGGAGAATGAATCCAGGTTAATGCAGGGAACGGACAACAACTAGTTACTTTTCTAGTGCTTTACAAGCGCTCTACCTTTTCACATGCACCCCTACAGGGGATGCAGCCACACAGTAGTGGAACTAGAGCTGCCCAAAACATCAGCAAGGAAAGCACTTGAAAGTCATCCTGTTTTTGCTAAAACTCACAGCGGGTTTAACAGGAGGTTCAGGAAACTTTCAGCTGAATCTCCCATGTTGTTTTGGGTCTGTTTGGAACAAAGCTGGATATGATATATGCTCTGGCACCACGTCCATGACATGTTGCGGTTTCACATGGTTTTGATGCCAGACCAGATTAAATCTGAGGGTTTTGAGTGAGTTTTGCATAGAGATTTTGGGTTGGTTTAAACCCCAAAACTCAAGAGAGATACTGTAGTTGGGTGCCTGACCCCGGTAGGTCAAAATGAGGAAAATGACCTGGGAGGAGAGAAAGCACTAACTTTTTTGTGAAGTTCTGGGCAGTAAGTGGCAGCAGTTTAGCAGCCCCAACAATGCCACATAAGAGCCCGATCCTGCAACCCTCACTCCCATGAACATTTCTACAGGTGTAGGTTCATCATCAGTATGATTTCATTGACACCAGGGATCAATTTGATTTCAGTGAGCCTCTTCACTTCAGTTAAGGCTGCAGGATCTGACCTAATTTATGAAAGGAAGTGAAGGAAAATATCAACTGAAACGCAGGAAGGAGCAAACCAATAGGAATTTAGCTGGGACACTGCGGTTTATGCTCCGTTTATTTAGGTCAGTGTTTCTCAAATTGGGGTCGCCGCTTGTGTAGGGAAACGCCCCTGGTGGGCCGGGCCAGTTTGTTTACCTGCCCTGTCCGCAGGTCCGGCCGATCGTGGCTCCGACTGGCCACGATTCGCCGCTGCAGGCCAATGGGAGCTGCTGGAAGCGGCGGCCAGTACGTCCCTCAGCCCGCACCACTTCCAGCAGCTCCCATTGGCCCGGAGCAGCGAACTGCAGCCAGTGGGAGCCGCGATCGTCCGGACCTGCAGATGCGGCAGGTAAACAAACAGGCCCAGCCCACCAGGGGCTTTCCCTGCACAAGCGGCGACCCCAGTTTGAGAAACACTGGTTTAGGTCTTTATATATCACCCATCGGTGCAGTATCTCAGGGCCAGATTTCCGAAGGTATTTAGGTGCCTAAAGGTGCAGACAGGCACCTAGCGAGTTCTTCAAAAGAGGAAGGCAGGCTGGGCACCTATCTCTGGTTGAAATCAATGGGATTTAGGGGCCTAGCCTGCGTAGGCACTTCTGAAAATCCAATTAGGCACCTAGCTACACCTTTAGACACAGAAATGCCTTTGAAAATCTGCCCCTCAGTGCCTTCTCTTGGGGAAAATGCCCTGGCATGCTCAATGACCACAGTGTGCCAAGCACTCTTTTCATATCTCACCCAAAAGATGGCCCCTCCAGCCTCTGGACCGGGTCATGTATGAGTCCCAGTGCTTCCAAAGGGCTTTTTTATGGCTCCAAGGGCCTGAGCAGTGTGGGGCTGGGAGGAAGAGATGCCCAACCACAGCAGCAGTGTCTGGAACTTTTGCGGAGGCCACGGAGGCCAGAAGCAGATACTGGGGGAGCACATTCCCCAGAGCCAGCTGCTTCACTAAGGCACCGGTGCACCACAAACTCTCCCCAGCTGAGCCCTAGTGTGCCGGAGGCAGAGTGATGGCAGCATTAGTGACCCCTCTCTTGTGCTCATGGACCAAATGTGGGTCCATTACAGCCGTCCCCTGTGTGGTAAAGTGCTCCCTTCTCTCTCCCACAGAAAGGCAGCTATAATGCGACCCTCTGGTTATGTGCTCCCACTTTCCTAGATAGCAAGTTGCTTTTGTATCCTTTCATCCATCTCCCTTTGCCAAGGTAGCAGAAAGGATCTGTACTCAGTAGGCAGCATTCTTTGGTGCCCAGATTTCATGTTGGGCTGGTGTATCGAGAAGGTAAGACAACATTGAGACAGCACTTCTTGTGGCTGTACTGAGTCATCTGGAGCATGCCGGCGAGAAGGAAAGGTTACAGCCCAGTAGAAGTGCCCATCCCAAGCACCATATCAACCCTGACTCAATTCAATACACAGCTGCTTCACAGGGGGAAGAACACACCCTGTGACGGCACAGGCACTGCTCAACTTATCAAAAAGCCAATGCACTGGAAGAGGAATGTCCTGAGGGTTTCCATACAATTAAACCTGCTAATTAGAAGCTCGCAGGCAGGTCTATAAGCTGCCATCTCCAGTCTTCTCGACCGTTTGGGAAGCGAGATATGGACAGATTGCATAAGCAATGGGCCTTGTAATGAACAGTGCCCTATAGAGAATTCTCATTGACCTTTTCATTAATTGTGCACTAGGTAGAAAACTTTTAGGTGCCGCTATTAATACTATTAGTAACATTAAGGCATAGGATGGTAGCCACATCCTAAATGACTGGTGTGAAATCTCAAATGACAGTCGAAGACAGCAGGTTTCTGTCAGGTACGGGTTTCTTTGGTCTGGCCAGGGCTGGCTCCAGGCACCAGCGAAAGAAGCAGATGCTTGGGGCAGCCAATGGAAAAGGGCGGCACGTCCAGGTCTTCGGCGGCGAGTCCTTCAGTTCCTCTCGGAAGGAAGGACCCGCCGCCAAATTGCCGCCGAAGAATGAAGTGCCGCCCATCGCGGCTTTATCTTTTTTTTTTTTTTTTGCTTTGCCGTTTGGGGCGGCAAAAAAGCTGGAGCCAGCCCTCGGTCTGGCTTAATTTCAGTGTTTATGGGTACCTAGGAGAATCTGAAATGTCAGGTATCTAAGTGTAAACGGATGCACTTGGGTAGGGAGAGCCCCTAACCTAAAAATATTGTAAATGGCACTGAATTAGAGATTCTTTTTCTGTGTACCAAGGTATTTCCATGGGGTCCATTACTGTAGTCTGCATACTAAGGATTTGGCTGTAGTGATAAACCCAGTATTTCAAGTCTCGGTCCACTGTTCAGCAGCCAGAAAGAGGGCTAAGAGGAGGCTGTCTCATATTGGCAGCAGTCCAAAGATACTACGCTAGAACTTTATAAAGAAATACTCATCTGGAGGATAGCATTCGGGTCTGGTCACCCTATTTGAAGTGAGATAGTTACAGAGTCCGATGTAGGCCAGTGTAGATGCTGCATGGTGTGGAGCCGCTCACATGTGATCAGAGACTGATGGCGTTTGAGGTTATTTAGACTAGAGGGAAGATAATTAAGAGGTGTCGTGACTGGAACTGAACCAAATACCCAGTTTTGAATCCCTCAGGTCTTGCTCAGAATTCACAGCTCCAACCTACTGTATCTGTAGAATGAAATGAGTCTGAACTACTAGACATGGGAAAGTTCAGGTCTGGATTTTGTACCTTCAAGTTCAGACTTGATGTTTGCTCCATTACAAAAATACACATTTTGGATTAAAGATTCAGAGTTTGGAGCAGGGCTCTGGTGCGGGTAATTTAAACTACCAATGGGTTGTTAACATCATGACCTATGTGATGTCCCTGAACCGGCCAGGGAGTACACACTGGAAGTTTCAGGTAAGAGGGAAGATATGTAAGAAGAATTTAAGGAACATAAGAACGGCCACACTGAGTCAAACCAATGGTCAATCTAGCCCAGTATCCTGTCTCTGACAGTGGCCAGTGCCAGTTGCTTCAGGGGGATGAACAGAACAGGGCAATTTTGAACGACCCATCCCTGTTTTTCAGTCCCAGCTTCCAGCAGTTAGAGATTTAGAGACACCAGCAGCATCGGGTTGCGTCACTCACCATCTTTGCTAATAGCCATTGATGGATCTAGTCTCCATGAACTTTTAAAACTTAGTTATACTCTAAATCAGGGACCGGCAAACTTTTTGGCCTGAAGGCTGCATCGGGTTTTGTAAATTGTATGGAGGGCCGGTTAGGGGAGGGGGTCGTGGCCCAGCCCCCACCTCCTGTCTGCCCCCCCTCCCGGGACTCCTGCCCCATCCAACCCCCCCTGTTCCCTAATAGCCCCTCTGGGACCCGTGCCCCATCCACACACACCCGCTCCCTGTCCCCTGACCACCCCTCGACCCTCACCACCCCATCCAACCCCTCCTCTC